AGATTATCTTGTGTTTTTGATCATGTGCTGGATTCTGTGTCTCCAGTGTGTCTGTTGTTAGCTTTGGTCAAGATAAATACTCGAAAGGTTATGGATAAGATGATAGTGAACGCCCTTGATCTCTACACGAAGCAGTTTTAATCAAATGCACGCACTTTATTTTAAAATTCTTTATGTTAACTCCGCTTTTGTTCATGGGTGGGTGGCTGACGGACGACTTATTGACCCACGTCCCGCCAAGCTATCGAGCTGAAACCTGGAACATAGACCCGTTACCATAGACAATTCTATCAAATTTCGACCCCCTCCCCCCACCAAAAAAAATAATTTAAAAAAAAAATCAGTTTTTCCAATTTTTCTAGGGGAACATGAAGGAAAACTGCCGACAACTGCGCTAAATGAGATTATTTAAAAAGAGAGTTAACGCTAGCGCCCTTTGGTGCGTCATATTTTCTTTTGTTTTCTGATATACTTGGTAAAACTAATCTGCCATGTAAAAGCGTTTGGGTTATTAGAATATCAATGTCGTTGAGTGGCACGAAAAAAAATGAGTGGTTGCAGGCCTCGAAAAAAAAAGGGGTGGGGGGTGGGTGGGGGTGGGTGTGGGAGCACTAATTGGGATTCTTATTCAGTGCGTTATTTGTGTGCATGTTTTGCTCAAATTTTTAGCCCCCACTTTCGTTGCTAAAAATTACATTTTTTAAAGGATTTATAGGAAAAAAAACTATTTTATTATGGCTTGCTTAATTCCGTTTTATTTTAGACTTAACCATATTTCTGTACAATCTCGGAGTCATAATCAATTGGTTTTATTATTAGATCTCGGGACTAATCTGTCATTTATTTGGGTGGCAATTAAACTTTGGTGGTTGACACACTTTCCAATGTTTTGTATTCCTTTCTAATTGGGATATTGACTATATATAACACACAAAAAAGATAGGGCTTGCAAAACAACATATCGATGGTAATTTGTTTTGTCCATCAAGCTTCATCATGTTGGTCATAGAAAGGATAAATATGGAAATGAGCTCAAAAATATCTATTCTGTTCTTAAGGCAGTTGATGGTCTTACTTGCTTAGAATCATCCACAATTCTGAGTTATGATGAGAAATTGATCAACCTTAAGAGGTTACATGCCGAATCAAAGATTCTAAAATTCATCATTTGGGAATTTCTGTGAAGGTGTTAGCATTCATGAAAGTCTTTTTGTGGGAAAGGCCATTTATTATGAATGAATGAGAAGGAGAGTTAGTGTGCTTGAATGCTTATTAGACTATAAGCGTAGTAATACTATAGTGCAAAAGGATTATTAAGGAGGTAGTAAAGTGCTGGTGGACAGTAGTGCAAGGGAGAGCTAGTGAGTCAGATGCTGATAATATCAGTGTTAGGATAGTTGTTTCAGTGTGTTGCCAATGATCATTTTGGTATATGTGATTCTTTGGGTAAGCGTGTTAGCGAAACCCACATTACTAATGGGAGAACTGTGTAAGATTGGAGTAGAAATCAATAAACGTTAAGAAATTTAATGAAGAATGATTCAGAGAGTCGAAAGGCAGTGTAGTCAAGTGATAAATAGTGTTAGTATAACAGTTTTATGACGGTACATACTTTGTGTCAAGTGTTATACTTGTAAAGTGGTGTGAGAGTCATACTCTAGACCAGCGTTTCCCAAATCCCAGTACCGGGCCACGAGAGAAAAAGTATCTGGTCGCTGAAAGAACAAAGAAACGTTTAACATGTCACGATAAAAATATTCGGGAGACGCTGCTCTTGACAAAAAATCAAAGAAACACAACACAAATCTTGACAATTCCCTGATTATTTCATACTCGCTGGATCAGAAGTGGATATGCACACATTGTTATTAATTTTGCTAATTCCTGCACACACTTTGGTCTCACCATTAACACAAAAAAGGCTGAGGTCCTTACAGCCATCAAAGTCCTTATGTTGAGTTCAAAATACAAGTATATGACAAGAGGCTTAAGGTAGTAAATATATTTTCATTCCTTGGCGGCACAGTCTCTCAGAGCGCCCGCTATTATTCAATTACAAGGTAACTATGCAAGAAACAGTGCAACAAATTGCAAATAGTCTAGAATGCGTGGGCTATGAGAGGTGTCAGCACTAAAATTATAGTGAAAGTATACAGGCGGCTTTGGTCCCTACGCTTTTCTGTGTCAATGAATCAAGGAACGCCATGTGAGAATGTTGAACCACTGTCATAGATCAAGCCTCAGGAAAATCCTAAAAATCAAATGGCAGGACAGGGTACAAGACACTAGGGTACTTACACAGGCAGGTTTCCTTAATACATTTAGCATTTTAACGCAGTCCCAGCTTAGCTCGGCATTATTTTATTAGAATGTCAGTTAACCGCTTTTCCAAAAGAATGTTCTATCGCCTGCTCGAGCATGGAATTGGGATTGATGGTGTTCCGAAGAAACTATTTAAAGACAACCTCACTGAAAACGGAGACACGTAGAAATTAGGGGCAAAGGATCGAGAGCTTTTGCTGTATTTCTCTGTGCACAAAGGCTTCATACAACAAAAAATCAACAGAGCACAAAAGACGTGCTAAAAAAGCCTGGTTAACTGCTTCTGGAAATGTACCACCAATCTAATGCAAATTTTTAATGAAGATATCAATATATATCTGTAACGGACTATGTTTTCACATGAAAACAGAGAGGTAGCATGAGTGAACAGTGAATAGTGTTGACCATGTTTTTCCACGAGGAGAGACAATCAATGGATTGTATTTTTGAGATGCAAATGTGAACTCCACGTTTTTGGAGAGTAAATTGCGGTTTTGTCAAAGCGGTCGTTTCCACGCTTTGCTTGTAATAAAAGGGGCAGTTGAGTTGATTGAAAGAAGAGTTAGGAGAGTCAGAGTTAGAAGCGAGTTGAGCTGAGTTATAACAGTGTGAGGACGTGTCTTTCTGAGTGATGGAATATTATATAGATATATGTGAATTGATTACACTCATGCAAGGATTATTATTAATGTTATCTGTGTAAACTGTGATTCAATAAAGTACTGTAAGTTTAACCAGGATTCATTATTCTTATTTGCGTGCCTGGATAACAAGAGGAAGAACGATGAAGTCTTAGCCGGCATCCTGAATTACTAACTTAAAACAAGTAACCATGCTATTGACATAACCCACAGCATAAGAAATAAGTTACAATGATAATGATGTCAGAGCATGTACGTTACAAATGGTGTCAGAAGTGGTGTAACGACGATGTGCGTTACAATATCCAATTCCTGTAATATAAAATATATATTTATATCATATATAGAGTTTTTGTTATAAATTTAAGATAATGTTTTTAAACAATTTTTAGAGACAAAAAGTTGTAATTAAAGGGCACGAAAATGGGTAAATCTAAAGTATTTCTGTAGCGTAGAAATCGTCCCTCAATTAACTTCTTTACTGACAAAAGTGACATAATTAGTGATAATTTAGATTGGGTAATTTAACGTCATGTTTAGAGGGGGAAAAAGTAGTTTAGGAGCGTGCAAGGGAGTAGGTTGGGCCTATAATATATTGCAGATAAATTCTTCACAAAACTTAATGATGTTAGAAACTTAAATATCATTATATTTTTAAAGTTATGATTTGTGATGAGTTTTTGCAGCAGAAATTATCGCAAATGACCTACCATTATTATCCCGATAACATAGGGTCATTTAAGTAACGAGTAACGAATGACTTAGAAAGGTGTTTTTACATATAACAAAAAAAAAAACTAATGAAAACAACTTTTTAGGATAACAACTACTATTTTACTATTTTGATCTCGTAAACGTTTCCTTTCCTGCTTAATTAAAGTATAAAAATGTAAGAAACTGTAAAATATCATTTGAGTTCATGGCGCATGCATGAGTTTTAAAATTGTGTGTAGTTTATGTTTAATGTTTTTTACATCAATTATGTTCACAGCATTACCAACAAGTCTTGGTCAGTTCCTTGCCTTAAAATCAGACACCAGTACCTGCTATGTACCAGTGAGTAAATATTTGTCAGTTTAAAAGTACAAACTTTAAGAAAAAATTATTACTTGATTTTTTAAACAGACTTTGTGAATAATGAGACAGAAAAAAAGTAATCAGTTAAATGATAATATGCAAACTTAAACGCATTAAAAAGGGTTAAGATATGCGGTTTGAATGGTGCCGAAAAGAAGTCAAATTTATTTGTGGGACATGAGGACCGTCTGACCCAAAAATGGGTAGGTCTTTGTGTTTAGCCTTGCAATTGTTGAGCTCCGATTGTTGTGTTGTATTGTGCGCAGCATGTCAGGATTGTCAGTTAAGTGGATGAACGCTCTTTAATCCATGATGCATGATACGTATCAGTGACGTGATATTTCGTGTACGTGGCATAGTGTCTAAAGTCTAGACAGTTAGGAGTATGTGCTATATGTTTGGAATTTGTGTCCGTTTTTGTATACGAAAGTTTTGATTGTTTCCTCAAATGCCGCGACTCTTTAATACAGTTCCTCCTGTTGTGGTGACCCCCAACCATAAACATATTTTCGTTGATACTTCATAACTGTAGCGTACATTTTCCGATTATCAAAGGCAACCCCTGGGAAAGGGTCGTTCGACCCTCCAAAGCGGTGGCGACCCACCGGTTGAGAACCACTTCTCTAGCTAGTTGCGCAATGTGTTTGAAATATTGTATGATCAGATGTAAGATAACTTGAATGAATGTTTAAGTTGTTCATGGAATAAAACGTATGTTCTGTTGTTGTATGATTATGCCGTATGAACGTGTGAACAAATCAGAATAGTGAAACTCAATCGTAGGGACTTGTCGCCTTGCTCATAATCAAGGTCAGTAGATAATGTTTTTTTTTTTCTTTATATTAATAATTTTGTTTACTCATATGTATCCAAATAAAACTGCATAGTGTATTGTTTAATACTTTCTCAATTTATAAACCTATTTAATTTTACAAAACAATTTAGGAGCAATGGGAAAAGATGCCTCACAATGGACTCACTCTGTTGTTCCTTGGTCAAACGGGTGCTGGGAAAAGTGAAACTGGAAACACCATATTGGGACGCCGAGCTTTTCGAGCACATAGTGGAATCACAACATATGATGAGGTCCGCATAGAATCGTTTGAATACAACGGACTTCAGTTGAAGTTAGTAGATGGCCCGGGTTTTGATATGGATAGAGTCCTTTTTCAACGGTTTATTTCAAACATTGGTGCAACTCTCGGTCATGGAGTTGATGTCTTTATAGTTGTGTTAAAGTATGGTAATAGATTTAATAAGGAAAATGCAGATTGCGTTATGTTATTAAAAAAAAACTTTGGCTCGGACTTTTATAGAAACTTTTGTGTTGTTTTGTTCACCAATGGTGATAAATATGAAGATGATCATGAAGAGTGTTACGAAAAAAGCGAATTATTTGGGGAATATTGTTCTAAATTAAGTGGAGGTGACAAAAAATTGGTGGATGAATGTGCTGGCGCCGTATTATTTAACAACAAGACTAAAGACGTCAATGTAAAGGAAAGACAAATGGAAAGTCTTTTGTATTTAATAGCTAAAAAATTATCAAGTCGAGTATTATCGGCTTTCATGATCCCCAGTGAATTTGATATAAGTTAGTATTTATTAGAGGCAATAAAAGGACATTCTGTTGAGATAATAAATTTGATCATAAAATCGGGAAGATCCTTCCATAACCGTTAGTTCTTTAGGTTTAACATCACACATTTAGGTCTGACAGATTGATTGATTTTGATTGATTTGATATTGATACCGCGCTGGTGTCCAAGCCACTCTGGCACGCTCACTGCACTCTGGTCCTCCGAAATCTATTTAAACAAAAAAGTTTTTGATTGTTTCCTAAGTGATTTTTTATCATTTACAATTCCCCTCAAGGATTGAGGCAAACTGTTCCATAATTTTGGCGCTATCGCTTCAAAGGAGCGCACTACGTAAGACTTTTTTTCTGTGTTCATCCATACAAGATGATGATTATAAAAAAATTAGATGATCTTTTAATAGGAATTTCCAGTTTATCCATTTGTAAACAAGTCTCTGCAGTATCAGAAACCCATAGTGATCATTTCATAAAGATTGTTGAAATTAAACTTAGAATAGATGTTAGTGACAAAGAAATAGGTTCAGTTTGGCTGCAAGTAAAAGTAAATAATATTCATGAAACGAATTATTCAAAAATAAAAATAGAGAAATAAACATATTTTTAATGATCTTGTCAACATTAGGAAGTCTCTCTCAGTTCTTCAATCAACCGTACTATTAGCATTCACTGAGCAAAACTCAATTAATTTTGTAAACAAGAAAAGATTGAAATAGTATCACCTTTAGAGATGTTTTTAGCATTTCAATAATAACAATTTAAATCGATTTTAACACGTAAAAGTGCATTACAGAAAATATAAACAATAAATATAGACCAGAACTATCATTAACATGTGATTACGTTTATCCATCACATACATGTTCGCTAATTATCACACAGTTCTTGTTACAAAACATTTCTGTAAGGCATATCCACACACACAAAATTTTGTGCGAATTTTCCTAACTACTTTACAATTTGTTTTCATTTCAAGGATTACTTTAAAAATTTATTAGAGAAAGAGAGCTACATCGTTAGATAGGTGAGACTGCCGTGTAGTTGGTTAGGAAACATTTTGAAAGATAAACTTCTGTGTTAGAACTGTACTGGATTAGGAAAACGTTTCTACATTCAATTCATGTATATTATGTAATTATTTGTGCTGTCGTAATCCCTCTTTCATTTATTCTCTCAATCAAATGTTCTACCATCAATTGATTTATTATGTCCGTTATTGTCAGGAACATCATTGGCATGATCAATAATTAATATTTTATACTGTGTAATGTCCAGTGCTTTTTTGTTGTTGTTGACTTAGCATTAGGCTAATTTCAATATCTAAATTGAAAAAAAATTCTTAGTCACTTTCGTTTTATGTAGATCAATTTTTTTTTAAATTCTCCCTTTTCAGAAAATATTTCCATTTAACATGTTTCATTCAGAAATATTTTCGTTGCCCGTCTGTAGTGTTTACTTCGGAACATTTTCTTCGGGGTGGAGAGTAAAAAGGGGGGGGGGGCATTTATATTTTTTGTGTGTTTTTACCTTCCCCAGAAATTTTCAGTTGCGTGGGGGGGGGGCTTTTATCAGGGTGCAAATTAGGCATTTTAGAATACATAACCTTAAAAAAAAATCGTAGTTATAGTGCACCCCAGGATGTTTTTTTTGCCCCAACTTATTTCACCACGTAATGTTATGTTACACTGATCGGCGTAGAGTGTGTGGGTTAAAGTAGCAGGCCCTAAAGCTAATCCGAAGAGAGGTGTACAATGAGTCCTTACCCAGCAAAATTAAGATATAATTAAAAATGCATTGATGATTTTCTGCAAATACCTAAATTTAGGTTTGCACCATTCTGCACTTAATCGGACATTAAGAGATTTAAGGTGTCTCTTAGCATTGATGTATTTATGAAAATGTTATATTTTAAGTTGTTGCTAATTAGTTTTGTTTATCAAAATTTTTATAATTAAATTATTTATTCCGTTAGTTTACTCTTTCATTAAAAAAAATTAAGTTTAAGCAAATAGGTTTCCATCCAATAAGGTGGCCTTTAACAAAAGCAAGTATGCTAATTGCATTGCTAAATATTTCTAAATCATAAATAATATTTATGTTTCTATCATCATTAAAATTTTTACGGATGATATTTTATGCTTTATATCTAACGCCTACCCAACCACTAAACTACAATTTTTTTTCCCTCTAAAATCACCCGAAGTTATCTAGATAATAATGGCAGGCACTTTGCGACAATTCCTACCTGCTATTGCAAAATCCCATGACAATTTCTTATTTTAGAAAGAAATATCTATTTAATGATGTTTACGTTCATAGCATCCTTAAGTTTTGGGAAGTTTTTATTTGCTATATATTATTGTTTACCCTATACTTTTTAAAGCCCCTAAAATACATTTTTTTTCTCTAAACATGACCTTAAATTAACAAATATATTATCACTAATTAAATCATTTTTGTCACTAAAGGAGTTTATTAATGGCTGATTGCTTCGCGAGAGAAATATTTCAGATATCATATGTTTTGAAATTGTTAAATCTTGAGCATGGGGGTGGCCATTAATTGTGTCAACAATATTTAAGGAATTGTTTACCCCCTAACCCACCCCTTGACAACAACTGTCAAATTTTCAGTGACACACTGTTATGTAGGACATTTGCCCTTGCCGTGAACTTTGCTTGACCCCATATAAGATTCCTAGCAGACGGATATCGTCCTTTGTTAGGCACTGTTTGAATGAGCCATCAATTTAAAATAGGAGATTAATTTCTCACAATAGAAGTCAGTGCGTAACATACCCCCTAAAGTAACAATTATGTCAAACTTTTTATACCCCAACCCCCAAAAATGAATCGTAATATAAATAAACATATAAATAGTCTACATTTCACTTTGCGCTGACCTATTTTAAAAACTCAAAATTATAGGAAGAACATTTTATTACACCTTTAGCTTGTTAAACTTAAAATTTATGATGCAGAATCAACCAAAAGGATGTTAAAGACTATTTTTTTTATTATTTGAGCAAGAATAAATAGGATTATTGTCAGTATAATTGACAATTGCAGCATAGTTTCTACCTGTTAACATCTTCCCAGGGAACAGCCAGGTGTGGCTCTATCGTAACAATGGACATAGAGGCTGATTTATCATTTTCATCTTGCAGAACCGATATACCAGAAAAGTCAAAATCATTCTCATCTAACCATTCAACACTTAAAATAGATGCATGTGGGCAATAACTGCCATAAGCTCTCTCTGCCTCCTGGCAGTTACTTGCATTAGTCAAATCCTTTTTTGTTTTGGAGCATGTGGTAATTTCTTATGCATTGTCCTTGTGATGCAAAATAGACGTTAAAGATTTTACAAATCTTTTCATGCAGCAATATTATTATTATTGTTACTCACTTTACTTTGCAAATAATTCTGAAAATATCGTAACCTACCCTATCAGTATCATTTATCTTGATTGCACATGACACTTGTACTTGTATTATGCTTGCAATATGATCGCAAACATACCGCCCTAGTCATTTGCGACAAATAGAATCTACAGTCGAAGAGAGGCCAACTTTCTGACTTCTCTTGCATTAACTAAATGTGCTAACATTTTGACCAGCCATCAGCAGTGCACAGACACACATCAAATAAATCTTTTTAAAAGCCTAAAAATTATATAACTATTTTAATTAACACTCATTACATTTGTTAAAATAACGTAATAACCAGTCAATTTTTAAGATTAAAATTTTAATAGAGAAAAAATGATTGTTGACGTAAACTAATACAAACCCCCCTCCCCTTTGTCAAAAAGTTTCAAACATTTCAATACCCCAGCCCCCGCCCTATTATGTTGACATAATTGATGGTCGACCCCTCATATCCTGCTAAATTTAGTGCCCCTAAAATACATTTACTTTTTTCTAAAAATTCTGAAATCTTAATCTTAAATTTACAAAGAAAACTTTATACACCATTTTAAATTAGCTTTATATTAACGGAGTTGGACAAACTGTCATCTTCATTTAAAATTTAAGCAAACTTTTGCCTTTATTTTCGACTACATTATCGGAAAATCGTAAAACAAATAATTCTTTCATCTATAGAAGACTTTCTTAACGTTTGTTTCACGCCTGTAACAGTTCCGAGTGTCTTTTTTTTTTTTTTTAGAAATGTTTTTAGTTTAATGTTTGCAAAGTAAAATCTTTGTTTTTTCATTTTCTAAAAAAAAATTTTAACACATCTAAACTTTGAAAATTAAATTTTCACATGTTAAAAATGATTGGTTTTTTTCTATAGAAGACTTTCTTAACGTTTGTTTCACGCCTGTAACAGTTCCGAGTGTCTTTTTTTTTTTTTTAGAAATGTTTTTAGTTTAATGTTTGCAAAGTAAAATCTTTGTTTTTTCATTTTCTAAAAAAAAATCTTAACACATCTCAACTTTGAAAATTAAATTTTCACATGTGTAAAATGATTGGGTTTTGATATTCATGGGTATAGTTATGTAAAAGTAACCCCGCTTTATTAACACCATAGCTTTTCTTAATTGGTAAACCTGTTGGTAACCATATGTTTATTTGTAAAATCAGAATATAGCATCTAATTTTTCAACTTTAATATCTTTGGATTTAAAGATATTGTCATCCACGTAAAAATGTATAAACCCTATTTCAAACCCCAGATATATATGGACCTGATAAGGTTAATTAATTATCAAATTATTTGTAATTTGTGCTGACTGGGGCAAAATAAAAGTGTCGTAATCAATCCACCCCCCCCTTCCCAACAGAGTTTAAAAAAAGAAAATAAAAAATCACTCACGGGATTGTAATCCCCTTACGTACGCAAATAAAAAAAAATATCATTGTATATGATTTCTTCCTATCTGGAAGAGTTATAAGTTCATTAGTGAATGCTTTTTGGCTATGGAGTTTCGCTGCAC